TCTATCTATCTATCTATCTATCTATCTATCTATCTATCTATCTATCTATCTATCTTAGCTAGTGCAGAAAAAAACACAGCGAATAACGTTAGCAATTGATGCAAAAACCACCTGGGGAAGCGAAAGCAAAATGGAAAGAAACAAATTAGGTTTTAAGCTCGTTTTAGATCACACTCACAAATCAGCTCAAACTATTACTTCTTCCTTTGAAATTATGAACCACAGCACACCCATTGACTTTGTGAGAAAACTAGCCTTTTTCTTCTGTAACGGTTTTTGTCGAGGTCTATGGCTTGTATTGAACACAATTACCTGTTGGTTTTTATAACCAGGCATACACAAAACTGAATAGATTATAAACACAACAGAAAGTGTAACCACCGACATAACAAGTTACGAAAAAATTACGATGAAATAGAATTAATGCTATTTCGAGTTTCTCAGATCACACCTACGCTTTGATGGAGTTTAGTCAGTAGAATGTTTCTTGTAAAATTGCATACCTATGATGTAAAACACAGTAACATTATTAATCCATCTGTTGTTACCACGAGGCATACACAAAATTAAACAGATTATTTATGAGAGTGCAACGACCAACATAACAAGTAACTTAAGAAATTAGAGTATCAAAGAAGTAATGCTGTTTCCAGTTTCTCAGATAACAACTAGGTTTAGGTATAGCTAAGTCAGCCGAAAGGTTTTCATAAATTGAAAACCCATGTATTAAAATATAATTATTTCTTACAACCTGGCATACACAAATGTAAACAGAATATAACTATAATCAAAACTGTGAGTGCAACAACCGGCATATCAAGTTACTTAAGGAATTAGGATGACAAAGTAATAAGACTGTTTCAAGCTTCTTGGGTTACAGTTAGGCCTCGATAGAGTTAAATCAGCACGGTCATGCTTCTAAAATTGCACACCCAAGTTGTAAAACGATTATCTTTTGGTAGTTACAACTAGGCAGACTCAAGAATAACATGCGTATTAACCAAAACTGAAACTGCGACAACTGACAAAGCAAATTACTAAAGAAATTAGTATGGCACAAAAGTAAGATTGTTTCTCAAAATACAAACGTGCTTGGTTAAAGTTTAGTCACTACAAGGGTACTAGTATAATGAGACACCTAGGTTGAAATGCACAAGTATCTACTGGTTGCTACGACTAGGCATCCACAACAATGAATAGAGTAAAACCAAAACTGAGAGTGTAACGACCGACATCGCAATCTAAAAAAGAAATTTGGATGACAAAGAAATAAGGCTGTTTCCTGTTCCTCCGATCACAACTTGGCTTGGAAAAAGTTTATTCGCAACAGAAGTGCTTGTAAAATTGCACACTCTGGTTTATCGTAACATTTCTAGATGGTGCACTCTGACGTGTTTTGCGGCCCACTATGGAGCGCACCATTTAGGCTTAATGAAGGGCTGGGGTAAATGGTGCCGAGCGCATTCGACTGCGGTGAGACTGGTGTTTTGCCATTAATTAATCTGGCCTGATGTCGTGGTCCATGGTGCGCACGCATTACAATTAAGTTTTTATAAAGAGCAGAGTGCGGCAGCCATGTCTGCGCGCGGTCTAGTAGCACACGTCTCTGTTTTACACTCGTACACTGCAGGCAATGCAGATGGGCCTGAACCTTTGCCTTCTGAAATGTATGAAATTTGGTTCTTATGAAAGTAGTTACGGAGATGAAGACCAGCGGCTGTATAGTTGGTTGGGTTTTTTTAAATCGTTGCATGTTGAATGTGTGAATTCGATTACCATGCGATGAAGTAACTCTATCGACTATCTGCATGGTGGGAGGGAGATGCCATGCAATGAAGTAACTATATCGACTATCTGCTTGGGGGGTGCGGGGGTGTAAGAGAGACAGACTGAAATGACAGAGGGAAAGCAAAGAAAGAGGACCTACTTTGTCGCATTCTCCAAGCCCGGAGCCATTGAATGCATGCATCATCTTTCCAGAAAAAATAGATTCGATATCCGTGTCATTTAGTTAATGGTTTGAAAGACATATTTGTGGAATGGGGGAGAGGGGGGGGGGGGTGATATGGGGAAGCTGAAGGACGTTTAAAAAAAAAAGTGCGCCTCCAAACCTTTAAAAACCGCAGAAAGAGATGATTATTTAATTCACTCTTTGAGTTCTGTTGAGGAATAAGCGTGAATCTAAGCAATACAAATAAGTCATGATTACAACTCGTTTTTGCGACCAAAATAATGTAATGAAAACACCAAAGACTAATAAAGAACTCTACAACGATCTAAATTTCCCTCATGAGATTTGCACAATCAAACAGGGAAACTGATTCCAAAACATGCAGTGAACGAACTCCTCTACCTTCATTCTGTGCTGCTGACAGTTGGTTTGAAATGGACAAAAAAACAAAAACGGAACAAAGTCAGGGACGGTGAAAGAAGAAAAAAAGATTCACGCTCCCACTGTCAAATAAAAACAGATATAGTGAGACTGTGACACCTCCCTCCCCCCAACCACAACTCTTTAACCGTGGAGACCACTATGGCATTTAAGGGGGGGTACACCTCAAGGCTATCTCGTTTATTACAGCACTGAAATTTACCAAATTTCACACACATATAACAAGCATAGTAAGGAGTCTTAAAAACCACAATCAAATTAGAGAAAAAATTTCGTTTCCATGGATACGGCGGCCATATTGGATTTTGTTGACATGCCTTACGTAATGAATACCGCACTTACTGCTCTTGGAAACTGCTTGATTTTTTGCACACGTGTTAACATACATTAGATCTAAAAATAATTGTGTTGTTTTTTTCCTAAACGAATTTTAAAAGAAATTATGAATTATTTTTCGGAGGTACCATTCAAGTTTGCAAAAAATCCGTGAAAATTCACACTCAAGACACCACCAACAAAAAACTATTCCGAATATCAAAAATTCAACAGACAAATGTTTACCATTACATCTTCCCTTCATTCTGTTAAAATGTCATGAAGATTGGAAGAAAAATGGTGGAGTTATTCAAAAAAGTATAGAAAAAGTCGCACTTTGAGAAAACTGCTGATAAAGAAAAATAAAATATTGACTTTATGAGGAAATGGTGGTGATAAACATGCCCGGTATGGGAAAAAAATACGGTTTTGGGGGGTAGTTGTAAGAGAGGCTGAGGAAGCTAAAAATGCCTACAACTCAAATTCCATAATTTTGAGCCGTATCGGGGCTTTGGTGGTTAG